AAATAATTATCAAAAAAGTCATCGTCATCGCGTTACGTGACCGTCATTGCGTTACGTTGATTAAACTGATCCCTCTTCAAAATAAGAAGCCTATTTGAAGAACTTTTTTTTCTGTTGGATAGCTCAAAGTGTCGGCTACAAAATGTCTCTAGGAAGTTTCTCTTAATACACTACACATTCGCAGGAAAATAAAGAACAAACACGTCACCCTCAACATTTTGTCCTTTTTGCGTCATTGCGTTACGTCGTCTGTTTTTGCTCTAATTTCCAGACGGCTCATCCAAACGAGCTCATATTTTCGGAGATTTTGAGGAAGGCAGATACACATTTTCCAACGAAAGAACAAACCTTCTGGACAACCTTATTGCTGAGAAAAGTTAATAAAACTGTGGCCAAAACGTCATCGCGTTACGATCGCTCAAGCCGAGCTCTAGACAGAAGGCCGGCCTAACTCAGAGTTTTCCTCGCTTAATTACTAAAGCTCCCCATACATACTGACTAACCACATACTAGTCACAAGAGCTTTTTAGTTTATGTCAACGCGTAGTTAGTTTGTTATCGGATGGGTGATCCGAGACAATGCAGCCGTTATTGACTTGTCCAAGATCATTCTATGACTGGTGGGGCCGAGGCTTGAGCACAGTACTTTATGGGTATGTGTCAATCACCTTAACGATTCAGCCATAGCGGGTTTCGTTAAACACTAACTAATTAATATTGTTACTTTTCTGAGTTTAAATAATTACACAACATAAAATGATATACTCAATATCGAAATATGTGATGAAGTACATGTCAAACTCTTCGCAATCGATAACATTTATTTGTTAGAATTGAGTAGCTAGTATTCTCATTGAATAGATCGTGCATATTTTATTTTTTCTTCATTATGTCAGATTATTTCCTGTGTATCCTCCTTGTATCCTGTGTATCCCCGATGTATCCTATGTATCCCGATTGTATCCTCTGTATCTTGGTCGTATCCTGTGTATCCCGACGGTATCCGGGATAGACGGAATCTGCCTTTACCCCCCCCCCCCCCCTTGGCTCCCTGAGAAAAAGCTAGCTGCTTTCTTTGTGACCGTTTCCCAAAGAAATCAAAAAGTGGATTATATCCCGAGATCCTAATGGCTTTTCACTAATGTATTCAGAATTCCATTCATCACTTCGCTTTTTTCAAGCTCTATATTAAATTAATTAAATTTGACTTTTATTTCCATCATTGTTTTTCCAATTTACTCATACCAGACTTAGTACACAAGCAAATTCTCAGTTTCTACGATGCTAGAATTTTCTCAAAGATCCAACAAAATTGCATGACAGCTTGACAAACTCTGATTTACTTTTGTGTTTGCCTTCTTAAAAACTGTATTGAATGTTTTTCTGATTTTTACTTCTTTGCTCTTCTTTGTTCTGATCTAATCCATTTTCGCATGTATCTTTTTCCTTGCTACCTACGATGAAAAAGCAGATCCTTCGCTTCTAAATCCACTAAAAACTGTATCTTCTCCAATTGTTAGTCTTCTAATATCTTAATCATTCATTAGTAGTTTCTTACCGGACGTTTTTACAAGCAATGCTATTCCTATGCCAAGAGCTGTTCCAGCAATTATCAAACCAATTAAAGCTCCGATTAATGCAACAACTGAGCAGCAGCAACAATACCTTAAACAGTTTCTCACTTCATCAATCAAATAAGCGATAAAAAATATCTCACTTGCTGAGATCCTCTTCTACTTGTTTATATTTCTCTGGCTGTTGCTCGACGTCATTGAAGTTTCTTACTGGAGTTCTGCGCACTACAGCCCATCTATTTGGTTCCAACATCGTATGCTTGTGTTTCTCGAAAGGTGAATAGTAAAAAAATGAAATTTGTAGTTACTTTTACATCACTTAAAAGAAGCTCGTGAAGTTAACCTTTTCTTAAATGACGTAGAAGAAGCTTGTAGAAATTCTTATAAACAGCAGACTTTTCATAGCAAGGAATTCCCTTTCGCATCCAATACATACAATCAATGCCGACGAAACGTTTATTATAACGACAATATGCTGGTGCTGACAGCAACATTGCTTGAGAATCACTCTCCGAAAGAAAAAAAATGTTTCTTTTTCCAATTCATTTTTTCATCACCCAATACACTGTGTTAAAAAAAACAAAATACATCACAAGATGCAGCGTGAAAAGCCCTACAATATACAAAGGACAAGTTATTTTATAATTGCACTTTTGTTTTCAAAATGGACAACATTCTGAGGCACTAATTTTTGACACTTCGAAAAAAATAACTTTTTTTGTACAAGACGAATTCGTTTTTTTTTCTTATTTCATCCTTTTATCAGTGATATACTTTATCAAAGAAAAAAAAAGCTATATATGCAGCGTGAAAAGCTATACAATTAACAAAGAACAGCTTATTTTATATATGCGCCTTTTGTCTTCAAATTAGATGCAATTCTGTGCTACTAATTTTTAATGCTACAGAAAAGATCATTTTTTGGTGCACGATGAATCCCTCTTCTTATGTCATCAGTTAATGAATCATTGTTTTTAACTTTATCCCATTGTTCGGTCATAAATTACGCCTCTCGACACAACTCATTAACCAAAACAATAAGAAAAGGTATTGATCGTGTACCAAAAAATGATCTTGTTCGCAGCGTCACAAATTAGTTGCACAGAATTTTGTTCATTTTCAAAAAAAACAGTGCAACTATAGAATAAGCTGTTCTTTGCAAATTGTAGAGCTTTTCACGCAGCATCTGGTGGTGTATTTTCTTTTCTTTTTCGTGAAGCATATCAAGCGACAAAAACATGAAATAAGAAAAAACCGAATTCGTCTTGTACCAAAAAAATAAATTTTTTTGAAGTGTCAAAAACTAGTGCCACAGAATTTCTCAATTTTGAAAACAAAAAGTGCAATAAAAAAATAAGCTGTCCTTTGTGGATTGTAGAGCTTTTTACGCTGCGTCTGGTGATGTATTTTGCTCTTTTAACACAGCATATTAGGTAATGAAAAAATGAATTGGAAAAAAGAAGGGGAGGGATGAGGGTGGGTGCGTATAGGTGTGGGTGTGGGTGTAGGTATCATTCTCTTCCTCATTACGACACCCACATCTACACCCACACCAATACCCACACCCACACCCACACACCCACACCCACACTCAGACCCACACCCCTCACCCACACCCATCCACACCCACACCCACACCCACACCCCACACCCACACCCACATCAATACCCACACCCACACACCCACACCCATACCCACACCCAGACCCACACCCCTCACCCACACCCACACCCACCCACACCCACACCCACACCCA